TCCAAGAATGATTGTATTTAAGGGCTCATATCCAAGGTATTAAGAACTGTCACACCACATACAGGTTTCTAGTTGTCTTCACAGAGATCAAAAGACACAACAACTTGCCTTTCTGAAAAACTAGCTTATCACTACTCAGATTTATAGAACCTCAGAATTTCTAACAGCTAAATCACCGCCTTTCTTTTCCTCTTTATTGAGATATAATTGAAGAACTTGTTTAAAGTTTAAAGTTTTAAAGCTGTTTTTTCCACAAAGCCCTGGATGTATTTGCTGAAATAGAGATTAAAATAAATAAAGCTGAGATTATGATGGTGATGGAGGAAGAAATAGAGGGGTGAAGAGACTTCGCTTTCAACTCTGACAGATGAGATGAGCACAGAGTCTTTGGATAGAGAATGTATACAACATAATGTGCAAATATGTCTCAAAACTGAGCATATCATAGTAGATAATGTATTAAGGAAATTTTGTATTAACAGTAACAATAAATGCTGAAGAACTTGAGAAACAAGAGATTAACACATTGTTACATTTTTAAATAAGCTTTGTATTTTCCAATAAGTAAATTTCTCATGATTAAAGTACTGAAAAACATTAGGCTCACTAAAGGATGCAAAATAATTTTTTAAAAATATTTGATCTCCTGTTTCTATTTCTACTTTTATAATCTAAATAATTGCATATTGCAATGAGGCAGGCTAGATGTTGAGAACATGTATATACACACAAAGACACACATGTACAGCAAAAAGAAGGTAACTACTTGCAAAGTTGGGGTTCTGGATAAAGAAATAATAATTCAGAATATTTTAGAAAAATTTGGCTAAATTTCTGGCATTAAATCGTCTATGGAAATGTAGAAAAACTGAATTTCTTACATATGAAAGTGAGGATTATCAGTCTGATTTCATGCTCATACTTGATAGATTTCTATTAGGGCTATAAAACAACTCAGTTGTCGAAACAAATGTCCGTAAACTTGGAGTCTTAAGAATGAGCCAGGTGTGGTGGCACACCTCACCTCAGAAAACCAAAAGAAAAAAAAAAAAAAGAATGGGTTTTTTAAAGGTCATTAAAGTTCTGATGGTCTTAACTGAAAAGATCTAGTACTTTTCTTCTTTCCATGTTTCCTACATCTTGTAACAACCCATGTCTACCACACACTAACTTCCTTCCCTCTTGGACACATTTTTCTTTTTCTTTCATCTTCTTTTGCCTTTAAAGCCTGTCCATTATTTTTGCCCAAGACAAATATATTTAATATTTTAAAGAAATATGGCCAATTTAATGGTTATATATTTATATATACTTAAAGAGTAGATTGTTTTGATATTTCCAAAAATAATCTCATAAATCCTTGTTATTATTTAATATCATTTAATGCTTAATATTTTCCCTTTGAGTCAATGATTCTTAATAAATATATAAAATTTTCATATTTATAATTTAATTCACCTACAGATATTTTTGAATTTATATGAATCAGGACTTAGGCTCTGGGTAAAAATAAATCAAACACAATCATTGAAACATATATGTCTAGAGAAAACCCCAGTTTCAAGACCTTTATGCATGATGATTACATCAATTCCTGTTTTAATCTTTTCTTCATCTAAAATCTTGAACTATAATGTTTGGTGCTTATGGAATCAATATCATTCTTAACATCTATATTTTCATGCTAAAACTGAATATAGTCATAGTGTACTCGGAAACCCCTTGGAACCGCTGGAAATGAAGTTTAGAAGCAAAATGAAGGTTAGTATGCGGAGATGGAGGGAAGAGAGGACAAGGTGAGGACTAAGAGTCCAAGCAAGATTTTGGAAAAGAATGCCATTTCAGCTGCTCAGAACATGGGATTATGAACCGCAATTTCTTTTTTTTAATTTTTATTGGTACATTTTAGATATAAAATGCAGTTGCATTCATCACTGGGATCTTGTACCTTTACATGGCAGATCTTGCTTCTTAGTTTTTCCCCATTCCCCTGCTCACCCTTCCCTATTTATAAAAACTTTGTTTCTATTTTCTCCCTTTTCTCTTACAGGACCTACTATTAATTGAAATGAATAGGACACACATGTTTAAATACCCTATAGTTTCTCTGGTGTGATAAACTAAAAGTGTAAATCAGGTCAAAATGTATAATTGATATTTTGTAATAGGAAGAAAAGGGCTAAAGGTATGGGGCAAATGGGAGGGTTAGGGGAGAGATAAAAAGGGAAAAGAAAAAATAAGAGAAAAAACTCCATTTCTTATTCATATTCTCTCTCCCTCTTTTTCTCTCCTTCTCCCCTTCTCCTCTTTCTGTCCATCCATATCTCCAGAGGCAATTTTGTAAAAAATCAGACAAAATGTCAAGGTCAGATAAGGGTCATCTGTCCCACCCTACCCCTTGTTAGAATTCTACTACTTCCAGAGAAAGGAAGAAACGTGGGGAAATATATATGCTTCCAAAATTCTTGGCTTAAAATTACAGGCAGTCCTTACAGATTTTTGAGTAAAGCTCTTATTGCCTCATTGGCACAGATGCCATTAGAAACTGGCAGACCTCCATGTCCACCACTCTGCTGACCAATGAATGAACTTGCTGTCTTTGGATGGGATCTCTGGAATCTTCCATTCAGTAGAATGGTCTTAAATTCAACCCTAGATGGCCCCTTTTCTCATTCTTAAACTGTGCAAAGAAGGTGCTGGATTTCCACACAGGGGCATTTCCTCTTTGAAGACAGCCAGTGTACATGAAACTGAAGCAACAGAACACCTATAATACGCTGAAAGAATAAACGTGTGTGTGTGTGTGTGTGTGTGTGTGTGTGTGTGTTTAACCCCTACCTTCTCCTATTTCAGATCTCACGTGTTCCTAATCTGACCTCTGGGGGTCTTACTCAGAATGTCAATGAAAATGTGAAGTACATTTAACAGGGAATAAACACTAAGGAAAGAATATCTAATGGATACATTTCAAAGGAATTAGAAGATAACCTTGGATAGAAAAGAGAGTAAATATGTAGATATTGTACATACTGTAAGAGATAATGGTAGGCACTCCATTTCACAGTTTCTATACCTGCAATCTTCATCAAATTAAGCCGAAGACGTTAGGGATCCAGAGGCCAAAATGCTGAGGAAAGGAATTCTGTTCCCAAATCCGAGAGGTGAGACTTGACGCCTAGCCTTTGAGATTATGCTTGGTTTGGCATTGCATTTATCAAGATCCATTCTACAATTACTTCCTTTTAATTTTTCACCCTTTCTGTGACTGAGAGAAATCTCTATAACAAACTAAACAAAGCCCTAAAATTAAAAAAGAACAAAAATCAAACTAATACAAATTTTATAAAGAGATAAATAGCCAAATGGGTTTAACTAACGGGAAGCCTGAAAAGGGTGTGCTCTGGAAAAGCCGCGGGGCTACGAAGTGGAAGAAAGATTTCCAGGAACCAGAATTGGGCTCTTTCCAGTGCAGCTCTCAGGTAGTATAGGGAGGGGAGGGCGACTCTTTGTAAGGTCGTTTCTCCTGCGGGTTTGGAACCGGGCGCACTGTGACTGAAAGACGGTGACAGCAGCGGTCAACTGCGGTTTAAGAACCCAATTTGGGCAGCAAGGACTCTGCCAGCCCGGGTCCCGTAGGCGGTCGGGAGTCCAGTGTCGGAGTCCCGGGCTGCGCCCCGAGGCTGCCTCGCCTGGGCGCCCAGCACCTTCCCCGGGAGGCGGAAGACAGGCAGGGTGGGCAGTGGAAGAAGCCTAACTGCGTAGCCCTTAGAACACCATGAAACAAAAACCAAAACGCAAACTCGCATCTTCCGTGCTTAAACGGCTGCGGCGCAGCTCGGCATGCCCGAGGGGTCGCGGGGAGCCTCGGGGAGCGCAGGAGAGGAAGCCGGCGGCGCT